GAAACAACAAAAGCCTCACAAACAACTTTTTCGCATCAGGTTCTAATGCCAAAGGTCGAGACATTAGACAGCGTAAGAAATACTGGGCGCGGAATATTATGTTAAAGTTTCTTGCGTCGAAATTTGTTCGTCGGCCTTCTTACACTCTAAAAAAAGCCCGTGCGTCTACTTTTACGCACAACACTCGGAGAGCCAATCACCACAACTTACGGAGGCAGCTCAGCGAATGACGATGCCAAAACATATGTTTAGGCCAAAAACCGTAGTTTGAGTTCTGACATTAAGCAATGCAAGCGTGACGTTTTGCATTGCTTATAATGTCACAACTCCGACTGTGCTTTTTGGTCAAACATATGTCTCGGCATCGTCATTCGCTGAGCTGCCTCTAGAAGTTGCGGTGATTGGCTCTCCGAGTGTTGTGCGTAAAAGTAGACGCAGAAACTTTTTTTCTATTAATTTTTTTCTAGACTGTATCGGAAATTGTTGCAATCTCATTCGCTGCGGAGTAATCACATATAATTACGCTCAACTCACCACGCCTTCTTATTCTTAAGTTGTCTCTTATTATTTATTTTTCATTTCTTTTTGTATTTATATATACAGCCGGTTGCGTTTGGGTTTAGTTATATTCTCGTCCTCGCCACTCGCCGAAATGTCGTGAATGAGTATAATAAGGAAGGGTATTTAGTAGACAAACCCATTTTTTCAATGTGCCCGGCGCTTCGAAGCCGGCTGGGATTCTTGTTACTGTATTTGGGACCAAAGGTAGCAATCTCGCTTTGTATTCTTCTTCTTTCTCTCAGTATTGCTTTCTTCTACTGATTTCGTGTGTGTCGTATCGTAGCCCGTGTATATAGCTGCTTGGCAGCCTTCCGATGGGTTGGTTCAAGTTGTTTTTCGTGTATTGTACATGCCAAGGTTATAATAAGAGCCGCTTTCTCCAGTTTATTTCTTTGTCCAGGACGGAACTGCTCTCAGAGGCGATGACGTGGCCGGTCTTCTCAGCATGTTCCGCCAGCGCGTTACCCTTGACGTCTTTCGTCTTCACGTCATAGTTATGTCTGCGCAGACGTTTAGAAAAGTTCTTCGTTTCGCCCATATACGAGGCGTTGCATTCAGCACAATAAATACGGTAAATCAACCCTTGAGTTTTCTCTTTTGTCGGACGATCCTTTGGAAGAAGAACATAATGGCCTGTGGTTGAGAGGGGCTTATGTGTAACTCCGATGCCGTAGGGTCTCAGAGCGCGGGCGAGGACCTTGCTCGTGCCATCAAGGTACGGGACGCACATGCGGCTGGTGGTGTTGACGTGAAGAAGTAAGACATCCAAGGCAACGTGCTGGCGGAACGTGCTGAGGACACCGGCCCCGTCGTGGCCTTCGCCAGAAGTTCTTTCCTCGACAGAGAAAGAAACTGGAGAATGCGGCTCTTATTACAACCTTGGCATATACGTAATACGAACAACCGTAACCGATTCACCGGAGGGCTATCAAGCAGCAACATACACGGGCTGCGATGCGGCACCGACAAAAACAGAAGAAATCAATACTGACAGAAAGAAGAAAACAACGACAGATTGCTACCTTTGCGCCGACAGGCAGTCACCCGTGAAGAAGGAGCGAACCCGGCTTCGAAACGTCGGGCACATTGACGAAATTTTCTATAGTCTTTTAAGTACCCATCTTATTACTTATACCTAACCAGGCGGAGTTCCGCCGAACTGTTTATATTGAGTGAGTTTAGGTTTTACAAGTTTTGAAGTAATTTAAGACTGCGGTCGTTGTCAAAACCACCAGTCGTGATAACGGCTGTAGAAAAATCACCGTCGTTTCTTTCGAGACGTTGTCAGATTTTCGCGTCGTCTGTTACGATAACTGTACTATAGGTTACGAATATAGAGTGATGTAAGTGCTGCGCCATTTGCGTCGATTGTGCCGTGAACGAAAGTCAGCTACATCTTGCGCCAAAATTTTATTTTTTGCTACGAATTGCGAGACACCTGCGCCGAGATGGGCCAAAAGCAAAAAACAAAAAAGATTATATATATATATATATATCCTGACCTTTGATGAAACAAATTATACGGCGAGTACAGATGCAGTGAAATTCAAATTTGTACACTATTTGTTTTGTTTTTTTAATGTGAAGTCCAATAATATATGTATATATGTATATTATTGGTCTTCACATTAAAAAAAAAGAAAAAATAGTGTACAAGTTTAAATTTCGCAGCATCTGTACTCGCCGTATAATTTGTTTCATTAAAGGTCAGAGCACAGTCGAAGGCTCGATCCCATACAACCACAAACACGCATAACAAGTCATGGGAAATTTTTTGTAATTGACTGGTTTAGCCGATGAGAGTACACGTACTACAAGATGGCGAATGCCATGATGTCGCGATTTGATGCTGCGAATCAACCGGCCAGGGCCGTTGATTCTGGCAATCAACCGATCTGGCCGGTTGATGCGCTGGCTGGTTGATTGCAGACATCGTATAAATTTTCAGAGGCTGTCGTCGGTGTCAGGAACTAAGAGTCGTCGGTGTCAGGAACTGTGCAAAATAGTAGGACTTGCGATTACGGCTACCGTGATAAAACAGATCCAGGGTCTTGTACTCTTGATAAGACCAGTTGGTTATCATGTCTGCCACATGGCTTCGTTCAGTGGCTGCAGAGTGCCGTGTCACTTGTGCCGCTCGCGTGTGAGGCTTCACCGCTTTGTGTCGGAATGCTAGGAGCGGCGACTGACCTGAGGGAGCACCTGGCTTAGCGCGATAGGCACAGCAATTATGCTTATGATTATTACAGGTCGACCTTCCTTGTCTTAATAATAAATAAATTTATAACTAAAAATATGAAAGCCGTTTACAATTCCCTGTAACGCCGGTTAGAGCTCAGCTCTTGAGGAGGAGGATGGAAGCGTACTGAAAGGATTGGTGACTCCTTGAGGTCACCTGACTTCAGGGGGGGGGGGGTCGTGTGACGTCAGGGAAGTCACGTGACCTCGGGGGAGGGGGTCACGTGACCTTGGGGGCTCACGTGACCTCAGGTGGTCGTGATCTCAGGTGGTCACATGGCTTCAGGGGGGTCACATGACCTCAGGGGGTCACGTGGCCACGTGACTTCAAGGGGGTCACATGACCTCGGGGGGGGGGGGGGGGGGGTCACGTGACCTAGGGGGCCACGTGACCTCACGGTTACGCCGACGCCGCTCAAGCCGGAAACGGGCGCCTAAGAGCTGAGCATTAAAACAAAACTGAGCAGAGAAAGAGGGTGAGAAAATAAAACACGGGTCTATATATGTGAATAATTACGATAGTCACGGCAGTTCCCGTGCAGCTGTCGATCAAAAGAGCTGCGAACTTTTATGCAACTCTGGTTCCTACGCCGCTAAAGAGCAATGTCACCTTTAAAGCACAAGTGTAGACTTTATCATATTTTGGATGTTTGTTTTTGCAGTTTCTAATAGTAGAGTTTCGAGTTTGGTAGGTTCAGTAAACTTACGGAACACTTTTTTATTGGTAGACTTGTTAGCGGATGTGCAGGATCTGGCTGGTATTTTACAGAAGTTATGGTTCCAGGCTAAACAAACTGCCGAGTGTAAAATGGGAAGGGGAGAGACGATTTAACCCAATGAGGTTTTGTGCTATGATTAACTTTTGAATCAATTTTTAATATTCATTGTAACTGGAACCTACTCTGACCAGAGTTTTATTTAAAAAGTCTGCGTCCCTTTTACGCCCTATCTACTCGTATCAGAAACGGTAATAAGTTGCATACTGGAGTATCAAACAGTAACCCTTGATGACTATCATAAATGAATTCATTTGGAGATGCAATCACCTTTTTCCTTCTCGAGTGATGTGCTAACAGACTTTGGCATCTGCTCAAAAAGCGTCAGGCTGCTCAAAATCAATATTGTGCCTGCTACAGAACCTGCTACGAAAGGTCAAATGTCGCTTTCATCATTGAATATATTTCGCCATCTATATGACAATTCTGAGTTTGAAGGCGGTCTGCGCATCAGATACCGCAGGCTAACACATTTACAGCAACCTCTTGATAATAAAATCTTGTAGGCACGTGGGTTAGCGCCGCAGTAACATGACCTAATTGATGCTCTCACTAATGCGAATTACAACAATTTCATATAGGAAGGCACTATTATTTTTCCCTTCTTGTTCGACTGATGTCATTCTACTCTGTGGCCATCATTCTTTTTTGTTAAAATCTCTTCCAACATAGGCACTAATGGTGAATAATTCCCCCTGCGCCATGGTTTAATGCGCTGTCCTTATGTTAATATGCTATTATGCATTCTTTTTTATGTTCATGCTTGCATGGGCCTATGATTTTTGACGCTGCACGGCTGAACTTCATTAGGGTACTTCCGTGCCGCGAAATCTGAAACGTATCAGGACGACACCAATGGACTCATTTGTATAGCAAGGTCATAGTCAGGGTAGTCAAGCAATGACGTAGAATCAGAAAAATGTAAAAGTTATGCTGGTAAGGCGAACGTCTCTCTTTATTTATTATTTTTATTTTTTGTTTCGTGAATGCGCGGGGTCTCGTTTACTTTATATCTTGTCCAGTTGGAAGAAATAGAAACATCGCGTAATTACTAATTAGTGACCATTGGGCGCGAGGGAAAAGTGCAGTACTACGTTAGAAAGAAAATGTAAAGCTGCTTTGTGTTTCTTTTTTTTTTTGCTTGTGTATAATTGCGAAAATAGGAAACCTGGTTATCTTTTTTTATCTTGCTTTTTTCTTATTTGATGTCATTTTCTCCTTAAAAATACTTGGGAAAGTTGCCATCCTTACGGCTGAAGCCATATCTGAATAGGCTTATTTCGTATATTTGAAGCGATACAGAAACAAGGAGAACACGCAACGAGTATTGAACAGTTGTAAAGTAAGCAATGGTTCAGGATTCTAGCTGTTTGCAGGAACATTTAGTACGACCGATCTTCCCGACACTCATTCTCCCACCGACAGGATCGAGCTGCGACCAGCTGTTCAGCAGCTCAGCTGGGCGGAACGGGAGCTTCGTGAGCCCCGGCTATCCGGACGGCTATCCCCCGGACACTCGCTGCACGTACCACTTCAGCGGCGAGGGCATCGAGAGAGCGCAGATCATCTTCTTGGACTTTGACCTGTTCCGTCCCGAGGAATCGTACCACACGTGAGTGCCGTGTCAGTTTTACCAAGGCGCGTGATAGAATATGGTTCTTTTAAATTTAAGTATATCTAAAAAAAAAAAAGTTGCTTTTGTGTTTTCGGGTGTTAGAATGTCTCATAACGGTACAGCTATTGGCGAAGTGGTTTGTTTGTTGTTACTGTCCTTTTTTATATATAAGGCTGCGCAGGTAAAACCTATACATGGCTTTCCACATGACCCGAATGCGCAAGGTCTGAGTGGACATTTCTTCTTTTTGTTTGCCTCAGGTTTTTTGGGTCGACGGCGTAAAATCATCGTGGTTAATGCAAAGCTCGTCGTAGGTTGGACATTATTAATATACAGAAAGCTTAGAAAGCACAGGGTGCGGTAAGTCTCATTATCGCGCCACAACCCACGAGATGGTGGCCCTGGCTGATGAGAATGACGAAGAACCATCCGCGAAGTAGGAAACTTGTAAAGAGTTTCTTAAACTTCAACTGCATGGCTATAGCTACGCAGACTAAAATTATATACCGCTTCGACCGTTCACGCCAGTTTTCCCTGCACACTTGTATTCACCAACTCAATTCTCTGACGTTACGGTATGACGGTGCCGTGACGTCAGAGGATTTGATTTTTGCGCACGCGTAGTGCCCACATGAACGGGATGTTTAAAAAAATTGTATCTTTGTCTAAGTTCTAATTTTGGTCTTTTTTATCCGCAACAGTCATAGTGTTCTTGGCAAACCGGGTTCATTCACCTAATTCTTTCTCTATATTATTTTACTAAAGTGGATAGGTACGAAAGCAGTCTCGTGAGAGCTAGGGAAATTATGTCGCCCGCATTAAAACGCTGCTCTTGGAAGTCATGTTGTGGGAATTAAAATGCTCGTAATTATGCAGTGAAGTGAGGCAAATCTGGCAGGGACAACATGAAAAGAAACTCCCTCAAAAAAGCTTCAGAGGGGCAACTGACGTTTTACTAAGAGACATAGCCCTCAAATCACATTAAAAAGGTTGGTCAAGTGAGAAAAAACGGCTGGCAAGATTGAAAAACTGCGATGACCGAAAAGTGGAAACTCTCTCTGGACTACGACCCGCAAGATGAAAACGTGTGGCTCAGTATTTCCAGCGCTCATCGCATTTTTTTTTAGCTGCAGCATCGAATAGTTCTCCGTCCCCTGCTGGATCATCATGAAAACGAAAGTTAGCTCTTGAGGCTTTTTATGCCACGCGCCTATAGAATGTGGTGCTGATGCGCAGCAAGGTGTTTCTCTTCGTCTCCCTTTTCCGCTTTCTAAAACTTAACAGTGCAGGGCAATAGACACTTTAAAAACTTGAAAAAGTAAGGTGCTGTGTTTGACGATGTGGAGGAATACGAAGGCGCCATAATGCGGAGCGCAACTTCGTCTGCTTCTGTTGTATCGGTATTGGTTCCGTCAGAACGCCGAGCTGTGATTGGCTCTGATTGAAGGATAGTGGGTAGACTTCAAAGCAGCTTGCTTTGAGGACTACCCACTATTTTTCAATCAGAGCCAATCAGAGCTCTACGTTCTTAGGTCAGCACAACCTCTACAAAAGAAGCAGACAAACTTACGCTCGGCACTGGTTTGGCCACCGTTACAGACACAAGAACGCAGCCAATTCCGCTGCCACCAGTATCACGTCAAGGCCCCTCGCAGAGGCATTTTGTTTCAATCACCGCTCAATTCACGGTTAACGATAGCAACGAGTAAACCTTTTGCCACCTTGAAGGCAAGCTACCGTAAACGGCGGCGCAGCTACGCCTTTGGCACTAAAAGCTGCATCCATCTGCAATCCGTCAAAATTGTACTATTTCTTAATTGAAGCAAGTACACTGGCGAAGTGGTTTAGTACAGAAGTTGTAACCCTGCAGCGTAGAAAGAGATCATATTGTTCATTTCTTCGCCTTAAAGTTGACGGTCTTTATGAGCGATTATAGCGCGTTCAAACAGTCCACGATAACTCGTACAACGCCCGTTTTGTAAGCGAATAATATAATTTTCCTCGTAGTGCTTTTTTTTTAATGTCTCATTTTTTACGCATAACCTGGTATCTTCGTGAAGCAAATAAGAAGACTTGAATAAACGGTACCTCACTCCAAAATACTTTGAAAAGAAGGTTATTCTGATATCGAGTTTCATAGGCCAGATAACGTTGTCGTTGCAGCACATCACGGATGAATTTCGGAACATGTAAACGACGCTTTGAAGGGTTCTGTTGCGACTGTACTCCCGTAGATAAGAATACACTTTTCGGAGCTCGTTTCCAAATGCAGTGTTAAAACTTTTCAATTCACGAGCCCTTTCTGGTTTTCAGTCACAAATTATCACGTGCTGAACATCGCAATTCTGTCTTCGAAAAAGGTTTCATTTATTTATTTTGCGTTCATGTATGCCGGTCAGCCGGCTGCTGTTATAGTCTTACGGGAAGTAATTTGAGGATCAGAGAGACGGGTACGGCGTTTTGATGAAACTCGGGTTGCAGTTCTTCTTTCTGATGGCGCATTTCAGAAAATGCAGTGAGATGCAATTAGAGCTCAGGAAGCCAGGAAGCTAAGCTCACGGTGTCGGATCACGGCATGTTCTGAACCTCTGCTTTCATAATTTGTAGTCTGGAGCATTTTCTATTGTTCTATATGCAATAGGAATTAATTTCCTAGCATGCGCATGCGACATTCGTCGTAGTGAGCGAATGCTGCGTCTCTTTACAGCAATTTGGGATAATTCTTTTATATATATATATATATAAAACGAAATAAAATCACTTCATCCGTTTCTTCCTCCTCCTTCCTTCTTCTATAAGTATTCTTATCTCCCTCCCTCTCTGTCTCTGTTTCTCTCTCGCTCTCTTGGTCACATTCATGCTGAAATGTGCATTTAAAACTCCTACAAGAAAAGTATAAAAAAAGGGGCGACCGATTGTATAGTTTGCAGACGATAGGGGTATCATCTCTAGACAGACAAAAATAATGTAAAAAAACAAACATTTGTTTTGATCTCACCTTTCCTCCTCCCCCTTTTTTATCCTATCGTGACTAAACTCCGAGTGATCTCATCGGGCGTATAATTGAAACAACCTCACCGTGCGAAAACAGAAAAAAATCCGCTTCGCGTATAAGAGGTAGCGGTTCGCCAGTTTCAATTACGGCAACACAGTCGAGCGTGATTTACTATCCTTCTGGATCCTGGAAGCTCCGCAATAATCTTGAAGGGCAGGAAACAAGCAGGCAAGCAAACAACAACAACACCCGCAACAATACGCATACCGGAACGAAGGAACAAAAGGAGCCCTTATTTCCAACAAGCCTTTACCTTCTCTCTCGTCTTCACGTAAACAAAAAAAAAACTTTTGGTTTTGTTTTTTCCCCTGTCCTTCCGCCTCGTAGACTAGGAACAGACAAAATAAAAACGGGGCTGTTTCGTGTCCCACGGGACATTTGGGGCTCCACACATCATTTTCGCGGCTAGTATATTTATTCCTCAGCGTCGGGAACCCGCCAACGGACTTTAATAACGAGAATACTAACGCCATTAAAGGAAACACCGAGGCGACACGATTGAGAAAACAGTTTCGAACGAACTAGAGTGACAACAATAACTCAAAAACATTTGGCAGCCGGCGACAAAGTCCAACGTTCTGCAATGGCGAAGAGTTGTATGCGCTTGCGCTCCTGTACCGTGCGTGTGCCGGCCTACACGGGACGAGCGCTTCGGGCGGCTAGCGAGGTCTGGATGCTATACGTTTCACCTTGTGCTGGAGCGCATCGGACACTACAAGCCATCCCAACCAATCCAGGACTAAGAAAGTACCCCGTGACGCCGCACTCCCCGACGCCTTGAACGGCTCCCGAAGGCCACGTGACGCTCACGCTGTATGATAAATTGAGAATGTCTCCGATTTGCTCGTATTATACCATCCCCTGCGGCCCATCGTATTAAGCGGAAAGTTTCAAGGCTCGAAAACACCTAATGCCAGCCTCTTTCATGAGTGAGAACGCCTCTTTTCTGGCGTGGTTTGTCGCGTTTGTCATCTGCAGGCTTTCGTTTTGCGCACTTCCTATGCGCGCGCTTATAGTACAGCTCGCCTGATGATTTCCATTGCGTGAATGCTCCGAGAGAATGAAGGCCGTAGCATCGTCGACAGCGAACTCGAGCGCCAGTTTTTGTTTAGTCGCTTGCTGCTGATTTTTTTGTTTTGTTTTGTTTCTGCCTCGTAGTGTGTTTTGGCCTTGCAAGGCGAGATTATACAGCCCAAAGGCGGTGGCGATTCTATTTTACTGCCGGCGATAAAGAGGAGACGAAACAAGCGACGTGTCTCGCGGACACGCACACAAACAAACACATGCTCGCACATAAAACAGGGAAGGAAATGGTAGAAGTCCGAAAAATTAGGCGGACGCTGAAAGACGCGTATATAAAAAAAAAAAGAAGCAAAATAGAAATAAAAGTGTCAGCGGAGAAGAGAACGTGGGAGAATGCGCCCACCCAGCATTCATCACGTCTCCAGGAAAAGATTCTTCGCTCGTTCGCTGGTTTCAGTGTAGCTTGAGCACACTTTTTTTAGGTTTAATTCTTTGTTTGACACCCTTTCTTCTCTATTTATTAATTTATTTTCTTCTTCTACCCTTTTAAAGAGCCCCCGTCCGCAGCTGTTGTAAGCGGCGATCGTTGAAGGGTAGACGCCCGCGGCGCCGCTTTTTAGAGGAAGACTTAGGCAAATGGCGGTGCAATACAGCAGCGGCAATGCAGTGAGCGCTGTAGCTGCACGACGTGAAACACATGTACAAACAGAACAACATAAAAAGGGGCTTTCCACGGAAGTGGGCCATATTTTGTACCCGAAAGAAAATTTGAAGGCCCATCCTTCCTTTGTAAAAGAACAACGTCTCAACGACGTTGACGTGTTGTTGCCCACTCTCCCCCTTTCCTGAAAGCTTGACGAAAAAAAAGTAAAAAAAAAAGAAAAAAAGTAAGTTTTACGGTTTTGGTTTCAAAATGATTTTTTTCTCGCTTTCAAGCTGTTTTGTGCCGTTCCATCCGGATCTATCGGCCACCTCTTCATTTTTATTTAAAACATCCGTAGATACCCGGCAGTTTTTTTTTTTTTTTTTTTTTGTATTCCTGGATTGAACGAGAGGTTTTCCTTTTCATTTCAATGGTTTTATTTTATTATATATATATGTTTTTTTGTCGTGCTACAGCGATATATTCTGAGAAGCTTCGGCGAAAGCGACTGTCAGCTCCCAGCTCCCGGCGCTCCGAGATTCGCGCAGGCTACCAGTGGAACGCCTCGCACTGTAGTTGGACCAAAGCGAACACTACATCCGCCATTTCAGCCAATCACATGCGTCGAGAGCGAGCATCCTCCTCACAGCTGCCTATGGTCTTCGGGAGTGTTGGAGTGTCGGGGGATCATCTACGATGCCGCGCTTCTACAGACTCGAACGTACGCGCGAAGCATTGATTTCGGTCCGTCACAAGATAAGACGGACTGTATGATCGCTTGTCTGCGTGAGAGATCACCTTCGGCGAGCATGAAGCTTGCCGCGCGTTGAGCAGCAGTGGAGGGGTACGATTTCAGCGAAAGATATCGTCTGGCTGTCAAGCTGAAACGATAGGTAAAACGAAGGTGCTCGCTGCCCCCCGGTAGAATATATTACCGCCAAGTGAACAGAATATCGATTCAAAATTTCCGAGCCCGTTTCGAGAAGAATGGCCGCGAGCTCGGTGGTGCGCTCTCGCTCTCTTTATTCTGCTCGCTTCCGACCCCCTTGCACTTTAAATCGATAGTCACCTTTTTTTTTTTTCTTGGTTCGACTCACTTCTTCTTAGAGTGACATCAACTGGTACTCGTTGGAAAGGCCAAGTCGAAAGGCACGCCCGGAAGCTCCGTTATACGAACTATACGTTGTAACTGACAGCTTAAAAGACGCAGACCGTGGCTCAGTATCTCCATTCGTCTTGCATCGTACTTCATGCCAAGGCATCCTTATCTATTAATGCTGCATTTTCATTGACTGCGCGCGGAGTGTTAACAGCTGTCTCGGGCGTCTCGCCATACACACTCTAACAAATCTAGATCGTCTGCATTTCCGTAAAGCACTTGGTCAAGCCAATCGTTGCAACCAACGGATGAAACTCGGTGGGTAACGAGGCCGAAATCATGTACAGACCCGAAGAGAGACCGCTTGCGATATGAGCGTGCTGAAACATCTTGCTTGGTGCAGCAGCACAGGCTGTATTTTACGGCCTAAACCTATATTCAACCACGCGATGGGCCCACCTGCCTTCGTAGGTTGTAGCGATTGACTTTTCCACGTTCACTAAACAGATATGAACGCTGCGGACTAGTGAGGTGATTTTTAAAAAGTTTTTCATATTCAGCTCATCCGATGTGCGGTATTGAATGATTTGAGTGACGAAGCACAGCTAGCAGTGATCACAGTGTGACGCGCGCGACTGAAATTATCGTGTGAATAGTGAGACGGAGCTTTGTATTGTCTTTTTCTCATTGGGCGAACGTCCAGGTGTGACGGAGCCGACGTCGTGATGGTGTTCATCTCGATCAACGGTCAGCGGGACCGCGTGGACAACTTCTGCGGCCAGGACTTGCCGAACCAAGTGATGTCGACAGGCCGAAACCTCACGCTTGAGTTTCGATCGCACCACTACGCGGGCAACGTCACCGTACGGGGATTCCGAGCTCTTTACCAGTTCGTCACAAGTGAGAAGACTGTTCATCGTATCATCCTATATATGCGTCTCTAAAAAAAAAACAGGGCTTGTTTGTAAATAATGCCATATGCCTCGCACTAAACGCGTATGTAAAATGACTTTAATGTTGAACGAGAGATGAGAAGGAAAGTAAAACGAAATGTGCGACACTCTCTGCGGAGATAGGAGACCGCACGTGTTTCTGCTGGAGGCCAAAATATTTCTGCCTTCTGAAATTAATTGAGGCGTTGTTGGTTCTTACCTTTTGGCACCTTTCAGATTTCGGCATTACAACGGGAAGGCAGGACACGACGATGGGTGAGTTTTGTTTCCGTGCATATCGTTCATGCCTCCTCCGTCCGAGTTTCAGGATGGGGCAGGTACCTAAGCCTAACCATTAGAGTGACACTAAAAATCTGTGAAAGAAACTATCCGACACAATCTATGAAAGTTTGGCACGACTGAAACCACGAGTGACATACGTTTTAAAATTTTGTAAAATAAAACTTTAAATTATATAACCAGGAATTATTTCGTATTCTCATTTCAACTGCATAGACTTATTTAACCCAAATAAGATAATTATTTCGTACTTATTGGAACCACAGTTGTGCAATAAACCGAGTAAGTATACCGACTGACTTCTGTATCTTGAAAACATTTTACAGTCCATTAGCGAGTTATTATTGAGATGAAATACCTTCTAGTTTCCTCCGGCTCCTCGGGGCGGGTCTGTGTCGTCTGCTAAAGAGCTTCGCTGCTTATCCACCTTCACAAAAATGAATGGCTCATAAATATATATATATATATATATATATATATATATATATATATATATATATATATATATATATATATATATATATATATATATATATATATATGTATTTATATATATATTTTTTTTTCTTTTTTTTGCGCGGAATTAGTTACGCTTATGTTTCTGCAAGGCGCTCACGGCGCCGTCCTACATATCTCTCTCTTTTCGCTCGACTGCCTCGCGTCGGGCTCCCTGATCGGTGACGGTGCGCGCTGCAGCCTGCGGCTTCGCCTTCAACAGCAGCGACTCGTCCAACGGAACGTTCACGTCACCCAACTGGCCGGGCGTCTACCCGAGAGACACCGAGTGCCATTACTTCTTCCATGGCCTGCCCGGGGAGAAGGTGTTCGTCGAGTTTGCCTACTTCGACATCGAGGGCCTGCCGCCGTGAGTCCTTCGCCTCCCGCTGTTTGGTGGCGCGTCTGTGAGGTTCGGAACATACAGCAGGTGGATCGCGCGCGTGACGTTGTTCGTACCGTGCTGCGTGGTCACACGGTATGGTGTGACCACTCAGTTTCGGGCTAAAGTGATTTGTATAATATAATTACCGCAAAACCATTGGTTTTGCGTTTATTAGCGTCGTTAATTCTAGAATTACTCAATTTTAGCTTCACCTTTGGTTTTAAAATGTTCAGGTTGCGTTGCTAATAAAGCTTTTGTTTTATCACGTAAACTCGGTCTCCATCTTACACAATAACAAAGGTGCGTAATTAAAACGAAGGTTAAGAAAATCCAGAAATGCAAAATAAAAGACGTTTTCTTGTACTGAATCTAATCTTGCGCTTTCCTTATTAGTTTAGGAAGACCGTTTTTTTTCTTCTCATTTTTGCAGCATTACTGTGATCTTGGTTAGGCCGAATTGTCTTATTCGTTTTTCCGTTTTCCTGAAATCTGAAAACCCTATCGTTGCACATTCTTGACGTACCGGTCGCTAAGCCCCTATATTAGATTGTACTCATTTTACTACAACAAAGAACTCGCTCAACTTTGTTGTGTCTAAAATAGTTTTCTTTCTATCTGTACTTCTCTTAAAATATGTCATTTCTGTAAAAGGCCAACGAAGACATTAGAGGGATTTCTAATAGAGGCTTTGTAACTTCAAAAACGATATCATTTTAACTTTTGGAGCCACTTGTACAGCTCACCAACACGAAGTATGGCACCATAGAAGAAGCAAACCAGCGAAAAAAAAAAAACGGAAACAAATCGAAGTACGCAGGAAACAAGGAAAAGCGAGGATTCCAATCGCTTTTATATTGGTACCCGAGATCGAAGCGTTTGAAATGCCGTGATTCGTGTGACCTAAGCAAAACCTCCAACGCCCAATTCTTTCGCGGATCCGACAAGACGACACGGCCAAAGAAAAGCCGACTTGGCTATGTTTGTCTCCGAGAACGACAGGACAAAAAAGGCGTCGCTACGTCTCGCTTCGTACTCTTTATATTCTATACTTTATCTTCCAACGGCGTATGTTGCCCAAAAAGGATCGGAATCGGGCATCGAGAACAACAAATTTCGGAAGGACAAGCACCGACACGCTATCCCCTCTTTTCTTTCTGCTCCCGAATCCCAACATACAAAATGGCATCCGAGGACCTTCCCCCAAAAAAACATTCTTCCAGAAAGGTTTTCTTTTTTCTCTTATTATTTTTTAACGGCCAGCTAAGACAACAAACACTCCGCTGTCCACTCGCCTCTCTTCGTCTTTCGTTGAACTCAAAATAGACTGCTCGAATATCGAAAAAAAACAAAAAAATTATACAAGCAAATTCTGCCGAGCGAATGGAGTTAGAAACAAAGTGCACATGGCAGTAAGCATTCACTGAGTACCATTGCAGCGCACACGCACAAATAACACAATGAGGAAAGGAAGGTTTCGCATCGTTTACTACATCAGACCCTAGGTTCCAAGCCTCATACCATACTGAAGCTCACGTCTTGCGAAATCGTTCGTCTTATGGAGGGGGTAAGGAGGGGAGGATGAGTTTCAAAGCGTCTCCTGCATATTTGATACCCGCGCCACAGCGACACGCACGGTGTGCGAAAACGAGGGTAAGGCACGACTAAGCCATCGATTCGAAAGCTCTGATTGCAGTCTTTCCCCTTTTTCTTTCTCCCAAAGCCTCCATGAACAACTCAATCCATAGTCTCTTCCCAAACGAAGCAAATGCATAGAAGGGGGCAAGAGAACGACAACTAAGACGTCCACGACCGCTCGCGATACGGTCTGCTCGGAGGGAGCGCATCGACAAAGAAGGGTCAGTTTCTTGATGACCCCTTCTCGCATCGGCGTTCTTTCCCTCGCCACCAAGCCGCAAGCCAGAAGCAGGAGCGGCAAATGAGGCAACGGTCGCTTAATCTTGTCCAAACCGGGCTTGAGACTGAAAGACCCCGACGGTGATGGCAACGCTCAGAGCACCCAGGAAAGCGGGAAAGACGACTATCCGATCGCAGAGGGAAGGGGGGGAGGGGGGATGAGAGGGACATGAGCACGCTAGAGTCTTTGGGCCAGCTTTCTACCGGCATAATAGGTCCATTTGTCCCCCTACGGTCTGCCGAAAAGAAGGGGGGAGAGGCGGGCTTTTGTACGGCTGGAATTCTGCTCTGTTTACGTATCGACGGCTACCGATGATGAACGCGGACGTTGCAGCGATGCAGGGATTCCGCCGTCGACGTCGGGGAGGTTTGTTTGGGTACACGTTTGCTTTACCGGAGACTTGTCGCTCGTTCAATGCGTCCGACGCTGCGGGAGGATTGTGTTGTCCCTAATGGTCAGCGTCAGTCATTCCGATCCAGTGATTAAGGGGAGGACGTGTACAGTGAAGCGTTTTGCTCATGGGGCTTTGTTTCGGGAAGTGATTGATTCGGGTTGGCCGATAAGAGTTACGAGGGGAGGGCGGGAGCATTGTGTCGCCTTGAGTGGCAATGATTCTTTGGCGGGTAGCATGGGCACGCCGTCGGGGTTCCGAAAATGAGGCCTAATCAGTTACTGGTTCCGAATCCGTTCCGGCGACACGGGAAGTCGTCGCGTAATGAGTGGCGTTTTGTCATTTGGTGTGGAAGGGGGCCTGCTGCGGAAATGCCCATAAAGCTACGAAGATTCGTTATATATTTATTTTCATGAATATAAGACTTAACGGCGACATTGATACCGAATGAATTGCTTGACGTAAGAGCTGGTTGAAGTCGCACTGGTGAAGTCATTCCCGTGGACAATGTTGAGATCACGAGTGAATCGATGTTGACATACCTTAACCCGATGTAACAAAGGAAAAGAAAGACACATAAAGGGACGGGACAGCACACAACGTTATTTTGTCAGTCTGAGTGACAGAGCAACCACGACGCGCCTGGAGTACTACACGTAGGGTGACCAGACGTTTCGTTTTCGGCGGGAACGTACCGTTTTTGAGGTCCGTTTTGCCGTTCCGTCTTTTTGTCCCAATAAAGAATCATATCCCGTTTTCGCAGAAGTGCATAGTTTCAAAATTGGCACTAAGCGAGTTGAAACAAACCGAAACTATTCCTACTCGTTACAATTATATTTTAGAAAAATAACCGCGGGTACTTTAAAATATGAGTTAAGCTATACGCACGATCCCGTGCCCTCGACCGGAAATGGCTATACGCACGACGCGAAACTTGGTGGGTCTCGTATAAAACGAATGGTTGCATAAAACAACAATATGCAATAATAAAAAAAAGTAGCGTAGCTTAGTGGAAAGGTGGCTGCTTCATACGCAGCGGACCCAGGTTCGATCCACAGAACCGTGCTCACTTTTTTCTTTTTTTTCTCTCGAACATTTTTAGAGCGCAGCTCTTAGGCGCCCGTTTCCGGCTTGAGCGGCGTCGGCGTCGGCGTAACCACGCGGTGCATTTTGGGAAATATCCCATAATGCACCACGCAAGGCCCCCCCCCCCCCCCCCCGGGGGGTCCCGTGACCTCGGAGGGGGGTCACGTGACCCCCAGGTCACGTCAGGTCACGTGACCCCTTTAAGGTGACGTGACCCCCAGATCATGTGACCCCACCCCCCCCCCCCCCCCCCGAGGTCACGTGCCCCCCGTGAGGGGAGGAGGAGAAAGGAGGGGTATACGCTCCCCTCAGTATCCTTCCCTCCTCCTCCTCAAGAGCTGCGTTCCAATTCGGCGTTACAGGGTGTTGTAAACGGCTTTCATTTTTATGGAGCATTTCGCGATATTTTCCTTTCTTTTCTGCATTTAATACTAAAAAAAGCAACTAATATTTGCGACGAAATTTTGCTGAATTAAACGCTACGCGACTCCCTTTCCGACTGCTTGGGCCAAGTGGGTTAATAGTTTTGTAATGAGCAGCCACATAATGTCGTCGAGAAGCGGCGTGAAAGCTGGCGGGGGATTTCTTAGAGAGTAATATTTAGTGCAATATGGTGACATTTTAAAATAACAGCAGTTATTCCATTAAATGTTTTTCTCCCAATCTCAATTTTTAGCACTATCCCCCCCTCCCCCCCCCCCCCCCCCCCCCCTCGCTGGGATGTCCCGTTTTCTACCCTGAAGAATATGGTCACCCTAATCATGCGTCGGTCTTGCTTTAATAAATTCAGCCAATTAGAAAGAAGATCCCTGCGCGTTCGAATAGCACTTGAGTCCCCGCGGGCGTTTTACCACTGGGGTAGCATATCTTAAAAGTGGGTTGCAGAGAACTGATTGGAGGTACATGAATGAAGTACTGACGTTGGCGACGCAGATGTCCTCCTTACGTCCACATAATGTCAGGGGGACGTTAAGCGATCTTAAGGACGTCCACAGCACGTTCTGTACTGTCAGGAGAATTCGTAGGGGGGGGGGGGGGGGGGGCAGTATACTTCCAAAAACTTCCGAGCGCATAAAACGTGTTCTCTCGCGTTTATTAATTTGTTTCTTTTTTTTTTTTTTTTTTGCAGTTGCACGGCGGAAACGGCGAGCGACTACATCGAGTTTTCCAATTTCCACACCGCGGATCGCAAAATCCCGCGCCACTGCGGCATGCAGAAACCTTCGAATGTCGAGTCCGAGGGAGATTTCTTCAGGGTGACCTTCAAGACCAACGACCGTTTCGACGGCACTGGCTTCTCAGCGCAGTACCAATTCAGGAGCATCGTGGGTAAGCACTAAACACCGATTAAAAAAATATTTGGCGTTGACAAATATTTGTGGCTTATAAAATAAAGGAAATATTCTTGACGGATCGAGACAAGTCGCCGACAGCTAAACAAACGCAGGTTGGGCGTGTCTCGTTGGGTTCGTGCTTCTTGTTTTCAGGTTCGTTCTTCCAAGTTATATTATCGTCTATCCTAACAACTTCATTGGCTGCGGAGGGGTAATAAGTTGCATCGGAACTTTCCATGCCCAGCTCTTTTTAAACTGCCTGTGACCATGCGGATGTAAACTGAGATAGAGGAGGAGACCAGAGCGCACGGGGACCGGATCAGAGCACCGAACTCTGGTTGGAAGGATTAGTGGGGACACGCAAAGCTGGCTACCTTGTCTGCCTCTACCCTCTTTACGAACGCGCCGAACCGTGAGTGGAGACAAACCGGATAGCTTTGCGTCTACACCCTAATCATTTCAGTGTGAGATTAGTTCTTTGACGTCCACAAGAGCTTTCATCTTCTCCTCTTCATCACCTTGTGTCCCCGGATCATTTTGCTTTTCTTGCCACGAAAATTCGACCAGTCCGTTGGCAGTTTGCGAGACGTCAAAAAAGGCCTGCCGGTGCCGCAATGTTGGTTCTTCTATCTGTAAGGAAACGCGTGTGGCAGAGCTAGCACGAGACATGATAAACACAGGGTGCGAGGTCAAGGTTTCTGCCATTTGCATTTCGAACGAAGGCGTCCTCCTCCTTATGGAAGGACGTGAAATAGAGAAACGTGGAGTGTCGGTGGATCTCATATTGAGATGCTTACTATTATAGAGACCAGCAGCCTATCCAGATGCACAGCGGAAACTGGTGTGACCCCTCGCTCCCTGCGGAAAGCGGAGCAAATGGAAATAAATGCACGAAGTTCGAGTTTCAAATGAGCAGACTACTGTCACAGAATCTCAGCTAGCGAGAAGTTTAGTTTTTAATGTTTCGTCTATCTTGAAGTATTGTAAGTATTTTTCATTCTCATCATTGTATAGTAGATTGAAGGAAAATGTAGGGCTCCAGCGTCTCATTCCTGACCTTCTTTACACATGGAGTAAAAAAACTTTTAAAAAGAAAATGAAAAAAGCCGAAAGGTAAAATTTTACGAAAGAATTGCACAAAAAAGACAGAGCACGGTCAGCAGATCTTCCGGCTGTCAACACACAAGGAAAAAGTTGAAAGTCAGAAGATGTTCTGTCCGTGCTCTGTCCCTTATTTGTAATTATTTCGTAAAACTTTATTGAATACTAACGCGCTGCCTAGAAAACGGTAGACGAAAGCTACTTTAGATATATGTCACTCTTTACGAGTGTGTCCCTGTTTAATTGCATTTTCTATGTGAAGGCTTAACCTTACGCCCTCTTTCTTAGTAGTTTCTAGTTTGCACGCATTTCGAGTGAAGCCGCAAAACAAATTTTATTAAAAGCTAAAAGGCTTTTATACAATTTGTATTTAATTTGTAATTGTGTTTATATTCGTATTTAAATTTACATTTTTTAACATCTGAGCGTCTGAACAAAAAGTTTGTTCAAATGCATTTTTATCTTCTTTTAATTTCAAAGCTAAAAGCCTGTTATGTAGTGTGTGACTGACCAAGGTTAAACCCACAAATGGGGTTCGGCTCCCGAGGAGGTGGATAAAAATCATGATGTTTTTTGTTTTTTTCAACGAATTGAAAACAAACAAATATTTCATTTAAAGGGATACTGAACCGAAATTTCGAGCTCACTAAACAAGCCCGGGCGGATAGGCGGGAAGCTGCAAAACCAAAAAATATCACTCATACGGCGATATATCTAACGGATCACCGTATTTTTTTGGAAAAGAAGTGTGCGATTGAACCCGGCCGACGAGGCCGACGAGACAAACCACGTCACGATTCCCATTCTCTGAGAATGAGGAGAAGCGAGGCAGCTTCTCCTCATTCTCGAATTCTCCCGGAGGACAGTTACGTCAAAGAACTCGCTTGATCGCGCCCTTCTTTTCCAAACGTACGGCCATCCGTATGAGATATCGATGTACGAGTAATGTTTTGGAGTTCGTAGCGTCCCGTTCAACACTTCTGCAGCCTTACTTTGCGAAATCTTATTTTGTTTGGCGCATTATGGCCACCGTTGCCGCTGCGCCATTAAAATCTTAATCAATCAAACTGCGCGAAATCCAAATTTCAGTTCAGTATCCCTTTAAATGGGATCCATGTCACTTTTTAATACACCTTCAGGCATACCTCACTAAAACATCATTCATAATGGACACACAATTTTTGTTCACTTTTTCAAATAAAGTAATTTTATTTGTGATTTATACGTTCATGAACATGCTTTAATTACCCCAATGCGTCGTGGTATGAAAATATAAAGCACTTATAATAAATATATAAAGCTTATGAATATAGCTTTCATCTTATCTAAGTTTGATGTTTACCGATGCCGCACAAACGATTCCTCAGAGCAGCGCGCTTTCATCCCAAAGTGCTAAAGGAATGCCTTCATGTGGAATAAACAAAACTTCAATGTCCGTGGTGCCGGTCAGTCAAACATATCCCAGCCAGAATCTTGCGAAAGCCACACTTTTGAAGCACACCAAATTAAGAAAAATTATGACAACACTAAAGCAGCTTCTCAATGCATTCTAACTTTTCAAGGGTATGAAAAGAAAGGTTTATATTTTATCCTCACAAATAACTTTCTTACTTAATGATTCTTCCGTGAATTCCGCAAATAAATGTTGTCATCGAAAGTACTACGAATGACGGAGACTTCAATTTTGTAGTAAGATGTTTTTGAGGTGCTTTATTTTGTCAAAGACCGGGTTTAGACCAAAATATGACAGTCCACGTGACTTAAATTAATATACATGTATATATATATATATATATATATATATATCGTAATTTAAATTATGATATGAAATATCTTGCTTTTTTACAGCGAAGCTGCGTACCTCTACCAGCCAAGGAAATCTTCGTGTCGTTGGCGTTGTAAGCAAAAAAGAATCTCCCGGCGAACAATTGAAGGAAATACAGCATATCTCCTTTGAAATCATGCATACAGCATACCAGCTCAGTATTCGTTTCAATAAAGAAAACAACAAAACAATCATCAAAACCACATGATGGATGATAAGGCGCATGTGAACAATAGGAACACCCTCCCACGTGTTCCGGTAATTATTAAGGTTTACGGCTGCTTCGAAAGGGGTTGATGTCATTCGAAGCCCTAGTGTGAAATGCAAACAGCATAATGGATGATAACGGCGCTTGCGAACAATGCGAAACACGTTCCTTCTCCCCGCGTGTGTTTCCCGGTAAAGATTACGGTTGTGTAAGCTACTCCGAGTGGTAATGTACCCAACAACACTGGAATCACGTAGTGACGTCACCACACTTTTCAAGAGACGTCGCAATGGGTAATCGTTGTGGGTGTCGTTTACAGCTTTGCTGCCCAACCACCTTCAAAGCGTGGATTGGAGCCACAGCTTTCTGTTTTTGTCATCCTATCCTGGTTAATAACACGTAGTTTCCTATCTGTGTAGTTAACAAGTTTGGAGAAAAACTGTGTCATAAATGTGTTTAATCGACGCGTATAATACAACAATTTTAGTGATCACACGTCCTGTGTAGATAAACACGCAATAGAACAGGTGTTATTGGTAACTTATAAAAGTTTCATAGATATTACTTTCCAAGTAGCATTCAAAAACAGAAGCTTTCAAATGATATCTTTTCACGCCTGTCACCATGAATTTCGGCCGTTCCCAGTCAATTCAAGCGCACAAAGAAAAAATGTCTAGAGCATTTATTTGATAGACATCTGCCGGCCAGCAAACGCGTCAAGAATTCACTTTTTGTTTTATAACTTGAACAAACTAATTTGAATTTCTTTTTGTCAAGTGACAATAAAGAAGAAACAAAAACGTGTTACCCTGTTCTTGCAGATTGTGAAATTCGAACCGTTTGGAAAGAAAACAAAATAGTTTAGAAACCACTTCCGCGATCAATATATATACTAATCCTCTTCAAACTTGGCGTCTCAACTAAAGAAAGAAAAGGGTCGAAAGTAATATTTAAACTCGCCGCACTGCATATGCAAATGTCTGAATTTTCACGCCCGGAGGGGGAAAAAAAGAAAGATGATTTGATTCTTTAAATTTGTTTTGCAAAAATAACATCAAAGAGTTACTAAACCGAACAACCATTAAAATCTAAATTTATTTTCCTGATCGCTTTACAGTTTATTCCCAACCGGTAAGGAAAATGCGTAAATTACTTGCGTGCAGTAAACGCACGGTCAGAGCACGAATATAGACTGCGTCAGTTGAAAACGTGCCGCATCGTCATTCCCATGTGTTTAGTAAACGTTTAAACAGAATGAAATAGTGCATTGACGAGCTAGTTGGTTGTTTATAGGCACGGTAAAAAAGTAGCGCATAAAACACGGCACACCGAAAAGGTAAAACACGGGACGAGCGCTATCCAATCCAATTAGCGCTCGACCTGCGTTTTGCTTCTGAGTGAGTGAGTGAGTGAGTGAAAGTACTGCGCGAGGGAAAACAAAGGAAGCGTTTTGAGGCCATCGGCCTCGTATGTCACCCTTGGTTAGACGGAGGACATGTCTCTTTAGGCAGGACATTTTATGCAACGCTTCAAACTCTAAAAAAAAAAAAAATCGACTTTTTTTTAACCGTGACCACGTATTGTTTTATATTATCGTTCTGTTGCCCTACTGACTATTCATTATTGATTAGTTGTCTAATGAGCTAACATAATCTTGAAAGGATATGTCTCCTTAAAGATACGTGATCCTTGAACAGTTTTTGCTTTACCAAGCCATTTTCTTTGACGTAAATCTAAGGCGTCAGCTAATAAGGGTTTCACCGAACCGAAGTCATTTTTATTTTTATGAACGATAAATATATTCTCATTTATTCTCTCGCTTCAAGTGTTTTAACGGATAAAGCGAAGGATGAGATTTATATCTGGGGCAATTAGTATTCTCTGATGTAGTGGTCTATAAATTATTGCCACACTGGAGAAGCTAATCAGACCCGTTTATTCTATCTTATTTCTTCTTTCATCTGCCCGCCCGTTCTGATCGTCGTCACCTTCTTTCATTACCAGGCTCACTTCAACTGACTTATTCAATTTACCACAACTTACATCAAATACAGTAAATTATCGTAAGTTTATGCTCCTAAGTCACGTGGAAATGGGAATGCGCTGGACACCGTCAGTTAAAGATTTTGAGCTCGAAGAATATTCATGGTTATCTTATTTATTACATGTTGCCATGAAATGAACAGAAGGAACGGCCCTCCACCGCAGATTCATATTTATTTACCAATCTATTATGAGCCTTGCACGGTCCGGAAGTTGAATTTTTATATAAGTAACAATAAACGCATGTTACTTATGAGTAATACTCTCGTTTCATTATCATACCCCCTTGATCGCCGCCATTCTGCAATCTTGCCATTGTTCTAATTTATGTTCATCAATGCCACCTAAAAGGTTTACGTGAGCACAGCAAACATACCATAAATTAACAAAATACATGCAAAAATATATCAATAAACATATGCAAGGTACTTTGACAAAGCGCTTTTAATAAGAAACATTACAGAATACAAATAACACAAAACGTATCTCATCACCTTCAAATACTTGTTTTCAATTCTTGCCCAAATACAGATCACACAAGAAAGTGCTTAAAAAATAGGTTTTAAAATAAACTTTGTTTACGCATGACGGACGGGCAAGACGCAAGGGAAAACAATGTTGTACCCTATTTCCGGTGTTTAAGCTTAATGCGAGCGTACTTGCAAATGGTGCAAACCTCCAAGAAAAACGCGACGTTTAAGACTAAAACTAAATAGAGGCACCCCAACCAAAGAATTGGTTCTTCTACCCCTCCAGGCATGCATCTTTCTTCTCGCCTATCTTTATACTTGATGTTTACTACGACTCAATCGCGTCAAGACTAATGCATTTAACAACATTCACAGCTCAATAAAAAAGTAAAGAAAAACTTTTTTTGCTCGCAATTGTATTTCAAATACTCTTTTTTCAATATTTCAATAAATTGACAAATGCTTCATCCAGTACGTGTAAAAATTCGAAACATACAATACCCAAATTGTAATAAGTAAGTATTTCAACTACTTGTTATTTAAAGGTTATATTGATGCTAGGTGCAAAGCGTCTAATATAAGGAAGTGAAAGCCACAGTTCAATACAATGCATACTTTCACGAAGTCTGCAAAGCCTCGTTCATGGCGGCCCTGCAGTGAAATTGTTTGCTCCCCAATAATCACACATTTTGTTTTCTTTTTCTTCAGACCCCTTTACCATCAAGCGGTACCGAGGCAGCTCGGCCCATCTACGGGGTAAGTACAAGGATAAAGAATAAAAAACTCCCGCCAACTTATAGTTTCAACAGCTGCCTCCAATCGCGTGCCATTCCTCTAAGTACAGCCCAGACGAACAAAACATCATAAAAGAGGAACGAAACGTGGGAAATTAACAACACCTCAACTGCGGCGCATTTACATTAGCACTGTCTCGAATGTCATTGGCGATGGTACGTTCCTTGGAAATTTGGGCTTGAGGAGGAAAGTCGGTCCCTCGCTAAAAGATAGGACATCCAATTACAGAGGAGAGCTCTCAACTAAAGGGAAAGCTAAGAAGACAAGTGAGAGCTGAGCAAGCGCAAAGAAAATGACCCACCCCCTCCCCCGGGGGGGGGGGGGGGGGGGGGGGGGGCGGGTCGTTTCGAAATGAGTCAGGTGTCATATCGTTCAATCTTGCGCAAATTAACATTTGAATCCGACATATACGTAAATGCGAAAAATGTAAACACAAATAAAAATATTTATATAACTATTTTTTTTCTGTGCGGATTTTGTGAGGACGTATTTCCTTACATTTTTTGAGTACTACTGAAAGTTCATTAGACGTTCGGACAGGCGGCGACCTCGTGCGCGACTGTCTTTCTTGAAAAATGATATGATGGAACAAAATTATTTCTCAGCTTCGTGTTCGCTGCGCTGCTTCCGAACGCCGAACAGGCTGCTTCTTTCCGCGAGTTCGCGCGCGCTAGAGAGACTCCCGAGGAATTGCTTTACGATCTACGCCAGGGAATCAATAAGTGCGGAACATAGGAACTTAAAAGGCTCGGGGGCGGAGCGCGCTTTAAAAGAAAGCTCGAACGAAAAAGTTCGGAGGGTCTTTCTTCGCACACCTGCGACAGAGTCTTTTTCTGTGCTTGTGTATACGTTTAGTCGTTGTTGATTTTTTTTTTTTTTTTAAAGATTGCCAGCTTGCGAGCGGCGACATCATGAATTGATGATTTTGCTACGTATTTTTTGTTCCCCGTTCTCTCTATCCGCTTTAACGACACTTCGGGTTCGGTCTTTCTTCAAAAAATACCCTTTTTTTGCTTTTTTTTTCACGTACGCGTTAGAAAACTGGCGGCCTAAGCACCCCACTTTTAACCTGGTAACGCACTGTTGACGAGCAAACAAAGTGGCACGTCTGTACAACCAGCTTGCCGTATATTGGAGGCGTTACATGCCAGGCCTATATTGACGTTACAAAATAATCGCGCTAACAGACAGACTTCTTTACTGCTTGTTAGCCATGACAGGCAGCTGCTTCAGTCGTGCCCGAAAATGGCATGACAAAAGTGACTTTTCGCCACGTTCAAGCGGTTCTGACAGGCTAGACTAAAGTAACGACACGACAAGCTCTAGATATCACGCTATAGTGACAACTAAAAATCTGCAGAAATGTGCAAAATTTTTAGGATGTTTTTGTAAGCCCAACATCAAGTCGGCCGTAGGCGGTACATCAGTTTACGCGGGACTAAACTCGTGTAGTCATTGACGCCCAAATAAATGCACGGCATGGCATATTCTGTTCATGCTTCTTGCCTTGTGATTCGCTCCTCGGCTTCCTTATCTGTGAATGCCGCTACCTCATTCGCTGAGGAGCGATTATATATCGTTTGGCATTCTCCGCGCCCTGCGTTCCCTGAGCTGTCATCGGCTGTATAGTTACGTAACCTCCGATCTTTATAGATTCGTTATCATATGAAACTTGTCCGCGAGCTCAGGTTTTTGTCTTCTGTTTCAGCCTGCATCGTGAAGACTGTCCTGTTCACGACCTACGCTGTCCTGTACCTCTTACTCAAGCCTCGATAGCAGAGGGAGGCGTCGCTCCTATGGACTCGATGTTCACCGGCGACGACGAGAGTTTTTGCGGACGATGTTCTGCGGATTCGTTGGTGTCGTCAGACTCGTGCTTCTTTGGTGATACAACAGACTGCGCGAACTTTAACAAAGACTGAGACGCAAGAAGACTGTACTGAACTGCCCCAGAGTCCGGTCGACGAGTGCAATCACGACGAAACGTTGCCTTGTTTCTTTCCTTGTTCGTACCCTACTTCTTTGTCCCCGAATTACGGCGGCATTTTTAAACCGCGTTTTGAGAGTCACGGTGTTGTTTACTGTGTGAGCAAGCTATCTGAGGCCGTGATGAGCCTGTTTAGGGAGCAGCGTGCCGGATGCCGATACTTACTCGTACGCATTCCGAAGAGGAATTGAAATATGAAAAGTTTGACAAGATGTGGCAACGGTCTTTTGAAGACACTCGAGGATGTCCGAGTTGTGATTGGATGCAAGGCTTTCTTGTGTGTTATCAATGGTGAGAAGATCAAAGGGATATTCATGGTTGCTGATTGCGATTCAGTGCTATCTTTTGTTGTGTTGGCTCCCAGTTCTTCAGCTGTAGAGTTGATTAGCATTCCACGCATACCTGGCAAGTCTTTCTACGGTTTTGGTACTTAAACAGACGACGGACTGTAAAAATACCAGTTGTGGGTTCCGTTTAAATCTACCTTCACTGGAACCGCGACATTCAAAACGGTTCGCGGACCAGTCCAAAAAATCTTGTTAACATTCTTTTTTGTTAACTGAAATCCGCGCTCTCGCCACAGAAGAACACGTCTGTAAACAAAGACTGTTTTTTGTTCGTCCGCAAACATAGCAGTGTGTTTTTTTCTTCTATGGGAAATAGGCCCTTAGTCGACTGTAGTAATTAATTTCTTTTTATATTACAAAAATTGTACTTTTTCTGTGTGACTGCGACTGACGTGCTAAAGAAGCTCGAAAGCTATTGACCCAAATATTAACTTGGTTTGGAAAACTCCTTGTTTTTTATTATCGCAACTGCGAGAACTGCGTAATACTACGCAGTGAACGAATGATTGATTTACAAATGTATCAGTTTACATAAATTGCCGCAAATTCTGGAATGGCCCAATGTAGTCGACGACACGTGGGCATATAATTTGCTCTTAATTATAAAGAACTGAACCGTGCTCAGCGACCAAGAACCACAATAGCGACACTATCGGTTATTGCCTTATTAGCATTGCAAATGGTTATTTTGCTTACAAAATATTCGTTATAATTGAAAACGCGAACGATGTGCGGAAAGGATGCCAACGATGGTCCCGCTTCAAGAAATGTAAACAAACCATGTGAAGTTGAATTTTTTTTTCTGAAGATGAACTTTGTCTGTTATCGTCCCTCTTAAAGAGTTTTCGTTTCATAATTTGTTTTAGCCCTTTTTTAAATTTCTGTTTATAACTGGTTTACGTTTTTAGTATGGTGCCCAGAACGCGTCTCTGACCGGTGCGTTCACCGCGTTCAAAAAAGTGGTCCCTCGATTTCTGCCTGATGACGTCATAAAGTGTCATGCCGTCGCCGGTCACGATCCTGGCGGTGTGACAGCAGCGGTGGTGGAGGTGGCAGATGTCTGTTCTACCGCAGCTCGCTCTCCAGCTTGACAGTCCACGAAAGCTTCGGCAGTCACGAGTTGGAACGCCGCGACGACAGCGACACTCAACTTTCGCTCGCACTTTTCACCAGAACTTCTACGACCAACCGCTAGGATCGGGTCATTCGACAGCATGACATTCCGGCTTTTGTGACGTCATTTGTTGCCACTTCGAGACTTCTTTTTATGTGTAGGCGGAGTGGGACGCTAAAATACACCAGTCCGAGACGTCTTCCAGGCCCCGTAGATGCTAGCAGCAAATTGAGGAATGTGTTGGTATTTGGGGCAGAGAAAATGTACAAAGCACACTCACAAAAAAAAAAAGGGAGAATGCCTTTGAAGGTATTTGTTGGTTTGTGTTTTCTACCGTTTTGTATTACGTACATGCTCAGGGGCACGAGAGAACCGAGCGGAATCTGCCGAAGTCGGCGGAACGTTCCTCGAGACACCTGGTTTCTTCCGCCAGTTCTATGGCTCAATCAAACTTGGATTCACCTCAATACTCCACTAGGTGTACATAGGTCATACATAGGTCAGAACCTATACTGGGGAGAATATAGAACGAGCGATATCCGTCGAGACATTCCTAGAGCGGCGCTCACTTTTGTCAAAATGGAAGTTTTACGTGAAAGCGGGTGATGCCTGGTCAGCATCAGATGAGTTAAGTGAACGCGCTTGTGTCCACAAAAACGGTGACCTCGAAATCCTTCTTGTTCCGAAGGTCCATTGAGCCGGACCGTGTTCAACTGGTATTTCCGTGGGCACGTAACGATGATAATAAAATTTATAAACGATTCGTTCGTCTGAGTAAAGCATGTCTCTGACGAGTACAGAAAACATAGTCCAATAACCAATGAAGTAGTACGCAACACGTATGGCAATTGTGCATTTTAATAAAACAAACATGTACTGTCCAAGTATTATATTTAAGACATTTTAAATTGCTAATACAAGCTTGACATATAATTTGATTGAACGCATCGTGTAAATTAACAAAAAAGCATATAGGCCCTACTTATTTTAGTGCTACTGGCGTGTTCCGGGCCTGCGAAAGTGAAGAGTCGGCGAAATTGAGCACGCATTCGCTGCCTTAAAAACTTAAATTTTTTTTTTTTTTTTTTGGTGGGGGGGTATTTAATGCTATGATACTTTACGGTGGTCTGAGAATACCCTGAAAATGAATTCATTTGGCCACTACCGTAATCTTGTTTGATACGTTTTCGGCTGGGATGAGTCAGCGTACAGCCGACATCGTGTGCAAGCAGTGCGCTCCACTGAAAAGTACATTTCGAAAGTACTTATATGAAAAGAGAACTTTAACATCGTGGTATACAATAACTGAAGTCAAAGTTATTATTCTTTATAAAGTATACAAACAGCATAGTTTAGTCTGCTTTTTTGTGCTCATTTCGAACGCAAATATATTGTCAATTTTTTTTTGCGCAATGCAATACATTTTTACATTTTCGTCGGCGGCTGGTGCTGCAATGTTTAGGCATCCTGATTTAACGTTTCTCTGAGTTGATTTACGTATTCCTTTATTTGACACCACGACTCATTGTCGGGTGC